GTGAGGGAGGGCTGTGGGGAGGGAGGGGAAAAATGAACTGATACCAAGAGCTCAAGTAGAAAGAAAGTGTTTTGAGATGGCAACAAATATACAAATGTATGGATTGTGATGGATGTATGGATTGTGATAAGAGTTGTACAAGACCCAAATAAAATTATTTTTAAAAGGGAAAAAAAAGAAAGAAGTGAGGCTATTAAGGAGCGAAATGTTCTTGATCTTGGTGGGACAACTGGGAGCCAGACCCTTACACACCTTTCGAGCCTGGACTAGGACCTACCTCTCAGGATCACTTTTCAGCCAAACAGCAGACAGGTCTCTAATAGGAACAATAAAATCTATACAGACAGTTAACAGGATGAATAGTTTCTTAGGGCTATGGTAGGGCAGGTGGCAGGGGTGGGGGAATGGAGAGCTGATCATGAGTCAAAGAATGAAGAAAATGTTCTGAACTTGATTGTGGCGATGATTGCATGATGCTTTTTAATATGTTTAGACTGTTGAATTGTATGCTGTATGTAAATTAAATAAATAAAATGATGCCACAACGGTGACAAGAAAATTGTTTAAAGCAAAAGATGTCCCAACCTGGAAAAAAAGAAGAATAAATAAAACCGATAATAACTATGAGGCCCGTGATCCGCAGAGCATCCAACCAAAGCAGCCCAAAGGGCAACATTTGCCCTTAACAAAGTTCAGGAGGCAGGAAGGGGCAGGGCAGGAGGAGGGAAGGAGGTGGGACCCAGAGAGGAAATAAGAGTGCTCTTCTAGGCAATGAAACAAGATGCATGAGCTTGAATGACAAGCTAGTTCTCCTTGTAACGTTTCCCCGGAGCTACAATAAAAAAGAAAAAGAAAATAAGTAGACCTATAATAAATGTGGGGGAGAGAAGATCAAATCACCACTCTATTAGAACTTAAATTCTGAGCACACGGTTTGCAGAAGGCCAGGGATGACCCTGTCCAAAATCCACATGGATTAAGCCTCCGCTGAATTCCCTCTTACCAGGACAGTCTGCTTATGTGTCGGAATTGAGTCGATGGCAGTGAATTGAGTGTTTTTTGTTTTGTTTTGTACTCCTGAGTCTCACCGTCATTGACGGAGGGGCTGAAAGAGTTAGCCTACTGATAATCAAAATACTAGAAATATAATATACTGTAAGATTTCACTTAAAAAAAAAAATCCACCCTGTAACAGACAACACCCTGGCTGTAAAAATTCCTTTTAAGCTCGAATAGCCGTGATGTCCGGACTCAGGAAAGAGTGAGCCAGAGGGCATAAAGCATCAAGAGGATGGTGGTTTAAGGGCCCCTGGAGAAATGTCAGTGTCGATAATGTCCTAATGATCACTGCAAAGCCTGCCTCCTTGGGGAATCAATTGTATCCTGTGACAGTGTACAAACCTGCCAATCTCTCCCTGTAATCCTTGTAAACACCTGCTCCTTATGTATTCCCTTGCTGGGCCAGGACTGAACGCTGAAACAGCTCCGAGGAGAACCCTGGCCGTTCCTCTCCTGCACCTGCTGGCAGGAATAAACTAAAAGAGTTTTTTTAATCAACCTGGTCTTTGTTTATGGCTAATGCATTAACAGGCTCTGTAGGACCTGTTGCAGTCAGTAACACCATGAGTTAATTCCCACCCCTAGGACCCTACAGGGTGGGGTGGAATTGCCCTGTCGATTTCTGACACCGTAACTCTTTACTGAAGTAGAAAGCCTCTTTCTCCCTGGTGACGAGTGGTTCTGAACAGCTGACTTTGTGGTTAGCAGCCCAGTGGGGAGCTCCTGACCCTTCTCACTAGGGATGTGAACAGTCGGTACCTTGGAAAGGGATGAGAGCCCCTCTCCAGCCAGCCCTGGGAGGGCAGTGTCCCTTAGAGGCTTGCCTGGGGGTGTCGTTGACAGTCAGTCTTGAATCAAGCCCTATGAAACTGAAGGTCCTGAACCAACCTTGGAAGCGCTTTCATCTAACACAGTGGTTCTCAACTTTCCTAATACCACGACCCTTTAACACAGTTCCTCATGTGGTGGTGACTCCCAACCGTAAAATTATTTTCGTTGCTACTTCATCACTGTCAGTTTGCTACTGTGATGCTCATCATGTAACCATCTGATAGGCAGGATGTATTTTCATGGTTACCAAGTGAACATCACGAAAGCATAGTGATGAACCACAAAAACAATATGGAATTGTATATTGTGAACTATTGATTTCTAATGACAAATCAATGAAATTTTGTCCTGAAGCATGGTGCAGCATGGGTAACAGTCTTCACGTTGGGCATATCTGCATGTGGGTAAACTCGCTTGGAGACGGATAGAGGAGCGGTGTCTGGGTTCCTGAGACCATAGGAAACATGTGTTTTCTGATGGTCTTAGGCAACCCCTGTGAAAAGGTTGTTCGACCCCAAAGGGGTCAAGACCCACAGGTTGAGAACCCCTGATCTAACATAGGCATGTGTCCCAATCACGGTTCCATTCCTGCTCCTGCAGTCCCGCCTGAAACTGATGCATCCATCTGCCAGCTGTCATCAATTTTCGGGTTCCATTCGTATCCCATGCTTTCCCTAAGCAGCGCCATGATGAGTGGGTGTTAGTCGTCTCCCGCCTGGATCATGTGCTTTTGTCTTTGTCCTGTTTAAGACTTCATCAGTGTCCTCCTTCCATGTTTGAGGTTCAGAGCTTCTTTTGTACCCTAAAACACCACTACAAAACAAACAGACCCATGTTTGGGGGCCACAAACCATTGCAGAATGGAGTCAGACCTCCTCCCCAGCCTCCACGCTCTCTGCCCCACAGCCCCCAGGCAGGACCCTTGGCCTCCTTGTCAGCAAACTCAACCAAGGACCTTCAGAGAGGTGCCTCTCCAAAGGGTACCCTCCAAAAGTACCCTCCAAATGGGGGCCTCATCCTTCACCTGGCTAAGTTGGTCCCACAGGGCAGACAGCAGAGTGATACGAACCTGTCCCAGGGCCACCCATCCAGCCACCCCGGCTCTGGCCCAGGCTGCCCCTGGCACCAGAGCCCATGCCTGCCACGAGAGATGACCCAGCTTCCTGCCAGGAACTAAATCTGGGACCTGGCGACTCTGTGTCCTGGCCCTGCCACTCGACCTCGAGCGCCTGGCAGAGAGGCCCCCTCCTGGACCTGCGGGTGCAGCAGCCATGGTCAGTAGGGTCCCGGGTCCTCAGGGGGTGCAGCAGCCATGGTCAGTAGGGTCCCGGGTCCTGGGGCTGGACTCAAGGTGTCCTCAGGGACCGACTGTGAGGGGTGGGTGACTGGAAGGGTAGCCAGAAGGTCAGCGAGCGGCTGCTGGGCCTCAGAGGCAGGGAGATGGACCGAGGGCAGTGGCCGAAGGAGAACAGCCTCCTGGCCATTCCTGAAGACCCCCGGGCAAGGCAGGGAGGGCAGCCTGGGGCCTCAGACCTCTGAATCTGGGCTCTGGGCCCACCTGCAGGGAGACACCCCCCCCCCCAGCATTGACCTCTCTCCCCTCTGGCCCCTACAGTCTCACAGGAAGTTCTCCGCCCCTCGGCATGGGCACCTGGGCTTTCTACCCCATAAACGGAGCCGGCGGCATCGGGGCAAGGTGAAGACATGGCCTCGGGACGACCCCAGCAAGCCTGTGCACCTCACGGCTTTCCTGGGCTACAAGGCAGGCATGACCCACACGCTGCGAGACGTGCACCGGCCAGGACTCAGTGCGTCATGTCCCAGGGGCAGGGTGGGTCAGTGGGGAGGGACAGGGGGAAGCTGAGCTCCTCTTGGCTGTCCCTGCCCCAGAACAGGACTCCCTGGACAAGGTGTGGGGAGGAAGTTGTCTTCTCCCGTAAAGATTGACAGCCGGACACTCTCAGGGGCAGTTCTACTGTCCCATAGGGTCTCTGTGAGTTGGAATCGGCTCGATGGCAGGAGACCCAGGAACCCTGGTGGCATGTTGGGGAAGCATTGGGCGGTTAACTTCAGGGCTGGTGGGTCAAACCCATCAGCCGCTCTGAGAAAGGAAGGTGAGGCTATGTGACCGATAGTCTCAGATACCCGACCCGGGCTCGCTGTGAGTCAGACTCGCCTGGGTGGCAGTGGGTGGGTTCCTTGTCCTCCTAGAGAGCATCTGAGACTAGAGTTTTGCCTGAACTCCCCAAGTGAGGACCAGTGTCACCCGACTGGGAGCCCTGGGCAGGGGGTGGGCTGGAGGTCAGCAGGGGGCTTCTGGGGGTGAGGGTGACCAGCCCTTTGGCTCCTTCCTCACTTCACCATGGGTGTCCGAAGAGTCCATCCACCCAGCCATTCCCCCAGTCCAGTGGGAGAGGACCCAGAGGGGTGAGGTAAGCTTAGGCCCATTTGTGCTTACTTACCAAGCTGTAGTCAAGTCTCACAGGTTTTCCGCCACACTGCGCACTCGTAAGGAGCACTGGTGGTTATGCGTTGGGCTAACTGCAAGGTCAATGGTTCGAAGCCTCCAGGTGTTGAGAGAGAGAGAGAGAGAGAGAGCGCTTTATACTCCTGTACATTACAGTCTGGCAGCTGGAGTCAACTGGACGGCAGTGAGTTTAGGAAGCAAGCCACAGTGAGCCCATGTCTACTTCCCTGTCTTCCTGGGCCCTCCGTGCCAGTCAAAACCAAATCCCTCATTGCCACCCAGTTGATGCCCTACAGGGCAGGGTACAACCGCCCGTGAGTTTCCAAGACTCTAGCTCTCTTTCTGCCTCGGAGCCACTGTTGGTTTCGAACTGCTGAGCCTAGGGATGGCAGCCCAACTCTTAGCTACTACGCCACCAGGCACCTTTCAGCGCCTGCCAGGGATTTTGGGAGAGACAGATGCCAGCAGAGCAGGCGCCGGATCTCTGTGGGCTGAGAGCGTGTGGAACTGTCTCCTGCCGATGGGTCAGTAAGCACAGTGGGCCGGTGCCTGCCCGCTCCTTGGACACTCCGATCTGGCTCTCTCCCTGGTCTCACGCAGAAATCTCCAAGCGGGAGGAGGTGGAAGCAGTTACCATCGTGGAGACCCCGCCCCTGGTGGTGGTGGGCGTGGTGGGCTACGTGGCCACGCCCCGGGGCCTTCGGAGCTTCAAGACCATCTTCGCTGAGCACCTGAGTGATGAGTGTCGCCGTCGCTTCTACAAGGACTGGTGAGGGTCATCTCTCTCCACACGCTTCCCCTGAGACCGCAGGGGTGTGCCTGCGTGTGCACACACACGTGTGTGCTGCATGCGGGCACGCTGCCCACTGCCTTCAATAAGACCCACAAGGAAGTCAAGACAGAGAGTAAATATTGTCAGAGTTAGCCCAATACGTCCAGGCAGCCAGGGTGAAAGAAAATGGACCAGTGACAAGCTGTATCATTGGAAGTCACTGCCAATTCTGACTCACAAGGACTCACAGTATGGAATAGATCTGCTTCATACGAGTTTCCAAAGCTGCCTTATCTTTTCTCCAGAGGAGCGACTGGGGTTCGAACTGCTGGTCTTGTGGTTAGCAGTTCAACAGCTAACCCACTGTGCCACCGGCATATGCCTTGTATTATCAAGGAGAGAGAGGCAGTGTTAGAGCTCAACTCTACAGTGCCACTTTGTCTGGTCAGGGAAGCCCCGCCCACCTGGTGCAAACACCTGCCGTTCCCCCCAGTGGGCATCATGCCTCCTCAGGCTCCATCTAGTCCCAGTCCCTACTGCGAGCTTGGGCTCTGGAGTCAGACCAGGTTGTGTCGCAGGGACAAGCCACCCTGGCATTGCATAAACGGGACCTGTAAATGGGACCCCCATAAACGGGACCTCTACGGCAGCATGGGGGCTGTGTGCAGGCAGAGGCTCAGGAAAGGCCCACCACTGCTCCTGTCCCTTCTTTGACCCTCGTCCAGAGCTGGGCCTTCTCTGAGCCTTGGTCCCTTTGCCACGGGGACAACTGTTCCCACCTTCTAGACTTCTGAGCACACGTGTGGTGTCTACACCACAGTGCTGGGTCATGTCATGGGGCTAGTCCCCGGGTACTGGGCCCACCCTTCCAGCCTCATGTTCACTCTCAGGCTCTGGGGGGACGTGGAGGAAGGAGGGTGTCCACCTGACAGGGGAGAGGGGAGGAGAAGAAAAGAGGGGAGGGGAGGAGAGGAGAGGAGGGGGCTTCCCAGGGAGAGAGGAGAGAGCGAGCACAGCCTAGCCCTGGGAAAGAAGGGACAGGCCTTTCATGTCCCAAGCCACCTCCTGGTTGGTTGTGGGGCAGGCCTGGCAGCCCTGAGTGCCCTCCTGTGTGCAGGCACAAAAGCAAGAAGAAAGCCTTCACCAAGGCCTGCAAGAGGTGGCGGGACGCCGACGGCAAGAAGCAGCTCCAGAAAGACTTTGCAGCCATGAAGAAGTACTGCAAGGTCATCCGGGTCATTGTCCACACCCAGGTCGGCCTGCCAGCCCCTGGCCCCGCCCCCGGCCGGCCTGTCCAGCCCCACCCCCACCGGGCTGCCAGGAGCCCAGGAAAATGTCAGCCTAAAAATACCAGGGCCTCAGGCAGGGCTCAGGTCCCATGGGTGTGCGGGCCTGCTCGCTGGGTGCTGCAGGCCCGGACTGGAGGGACCAAGGGCCCTGCCTGGCAGTCAGCGCCACCACGCCCTGAGAGGCCTGGGTCTCCCACTAAAAGTCTAGTGTGCAAGATGGACCCCCTCCTGGGGGTGCAAGTATATATGTGCATCGACGTTTTGTACCTGGGCTCTGGCTCTGTGTGGGAGGACAGGTAAACTACCACCCCCACCCCCACCCCCACCCCACACACACACACACTCTCTACTTCTGGAATATTCCTTGAGCACCTTCTCTGGAGAAAAGTCTTCCCTAGGCCCCAGAACAGTGAGCCCCTCCCTATGCTAGAGCCTGCTAGATCCCCAGGGCCACCCCTCCCACCCCATTCCCTAAGCCCTTCCAGATCCTGGCTAACGCTGCATGCTGGGTGAACGTCCCTTTCCTCCGCTGGATCTGAGTTCCCGGGGACAGAATCCATTGGGGTGGGGGTGAGGTGTTGGGCAGAGTCTGGGGTGCGGTAAATGCAATGCGTCATTTCGGCTGCATGGACACCTTACAGGACAGGGTCAACTGCCCCTGTGGGTTTCTGAGACTGTAACTCTTTACAGGAGTAGAAAGCCTCCTTTTTTTTTTTTTTTAACCGAAGGGGGCTGCTGGTTTCGAGCTCCTGACGTTTAGTCAGCAGTCCAATGTGTAGTACACTGTGCCACTCCAACCCACTGCTGCCGAGCCCATTCTGCCCGACAGGACGGGACAGAACTGCCCCTGTGGGTTCCTGAGAGCGTAACTCTGCAGGAGGAGGATGCCCCGTCTTTCTCCTGCAGAGCGGCTGGTGGTTTTGAACTGCTGACCTGTGTGCTTAGCAGCTCAACGTGGAACCTCTCCCAAACCCAGATCACTCACTGCCATTGAGTCCACCGGGCTGAACTGCCCCTGTGGCTTTCTGAGACTCACTCTTTACAGGAGTTGACAGTTTTGTCTTTCTCCCACCGAGCAGCTGGTGCTGGTTTTGAACTGCTGACCCTGGGATCAGCACCCCAACCTGTAACCTTTTTAAAAATCATTTTATTGGGGGCTCTTACAACCCTTATCACCATCCCTACATCTTTCCATTGTGTCCAGCACATTTGTACATATGTTGCCGTCATCATTTCCAAAACATTTTCTTTCTACTTGAGCCCTTGTGTGTAACCATTTTACACCAGGGTTGAGCACCAAGCTGTGAGCTGTCTGTGCTTCCAAACGGCCTGTGCCAGAGATGTTGGTTTTTTTGTTTTTTTTAAAAAAGCACTAGGTCCTGTCTTATCTGGCCCTGGGAACAACAACCTGGCTTCTTCTGTGGCTCCCTAGCCCAGCTCAGCCCAGCCTCTGGCCACTTCTGACCGCTTCCTGACCCATCACCTCCCAGGTCTCCCCTGCCTCAGGCTCTCTCCTTGTGCCCCAAACTTCTCAAGATCTTCGCCCAGGAGCTTCTGGGTACAGCTGTCACCTTCACAGAGAGCCCCCCCCAACCCATGACTACCCATTCTGAAGTCATGTCTCTGCCCTCTCTGAGGGGGTATTTGGTCTCCAATTGGCTCTTGATTGGATGGTGGTCCAGGAGGTCTGGGGCCTGTCTATCTCCTTCCCTGGCACACCCTCAGGGCCTTACACTGCCAGAGTGGGGCAGTGTTTGGGGATAAATGCAGGGGTGGCTCTGTAGAGTCCACAGGGGGTATGGTGTGTGACCCACAGGGCCCCAGCTGGCTGCGCTGCTTGCTAATGGTGGCATGACTACAGGGACCCAGTTGGCCCTGCTGAGTCTGCTGTTGGTGTGGCTGATTGGTGGGTACCCAGCCGGTCATACTGTGTCTGCCGATGGGGAAGGGTGACCCATGACCCACAGGGACCCAGCTAGCCTGTGTCTGCTGATGGGGTGTGATTTGCGCTGCCCTGACTCCCAGATGAAGCTGCTGCCCTTTCGGCAGAAGAAGGCCCACATCATGGAGATCCAGCTGAACGGGGGCACGGTGGCCGAGAAGGTGGCCTGGGCCCAGGCCCGGCTGGAGAAGCAGGTGCCCGTGCACAGCGTGTTCAGCCAGAGTGAGGTCATCGATGTCATTGCCGTCACCAAGGGCCGGGGCGTCAAAGGTAGCTCGGGGGGGCTGGTGGCTCCAGGCCAGGAAGGCGGCCCCTTCCTCTCTCCCTCCCTCCTTCCCCAGGGGTGACGAGTCGCTGGCACACCAAGAAGCTGCCCAGGAAGACGCACAAGGGGCTGCGCAAGGTGGCCTGCATCGGCGCCTGGCACCCTGCCCGCGTGGGCTGCTCCATCGCCCGTGCTGGCCAGAAGGGTTACCACCACCGTACGGAGCTCAACAAGAAGGTGGGCAGGAATCCAGGCTCTGCCGCCCTTCTGCCCCACGTGACTCAGCCCCAGCACAGGTGGCCCGAGGTGTGGGCATGCTGTCACCCAACGTGGCTTTCTCCCGGCAGATCTACCGCATTGGCCGCGGGCCACACATGGAGCAAGGGAAACTGGTCAAGAACAACGCGTCCACCAGCTACGACGTGACCGACAAGTCCATCACACCGCTGGTGAGGGCAGGGGGTGGGGGGGTGGGTGGGGGGGTGGGGGTGTGTGTCCTGGTGTGGCGGGACTGGCCAGAGGGCTGGGGGGGCGGGGCTTGTGGTGAAACTTTTCTCTGAGCTCTGTGTGTGTGTGGGGGGGTGGGGGTGGGACCCCTGCTACTCCCCAACCCCTTCCACCCCCCAATACAGAGACTGTCGCCACTATGACCCCATGCTCAGTATGTACCGGCTGAGCCTCAGTTTCTCCTTCTGCCCAAACAAAAAAATCCCTGCCATCACTACGCCACCAGGACGTGATAAAGATACCGTGGTAGCAGCAGCGACCCAGGAAGCCTCCAGAGGGGTCAGCCCCAGCCCTGGCAGCCAGGTCCCTTCCAGCACAGCAGTTGTGTGAAGTGTTGTTCCCCCAGTGACCCCCAAGCTAGCAGCCCCTGCCCCAGGGTTGGTCCCTGACTCAGCGTCTCTGGCAGGGTGGCTTCCCCCACTATGGAGAGGTCAACAACGACTTTGTCATGCTCAAGGGCTGCATCGCTGGCACCAAGAAGAGGATCATCACGCTGAGGAAGGTGGGCTGGGGACTCACAGCACAGAGGGCAGTGGCGGAAAGGGGGGTTCTGGTAGGAGCTGGGTGAAACATCTGGGCAGGGGGAACTGGGGGAACAAGGACATGACCTGGGGGAGGGGTGACTGGGTCTCAAGGATCCCCTCTCACCTGGGCTCCCAGTCCCTCCGGGTCCCCCACAGCCGCCGGGCCCTGGAGAGCATCGAGCTCAAGTTTATCGATACCACGTCCAAGTTTGGCCATGGCTGCTTCCAGACTGCCCAGGAGAAGAGGGCCTTCATGGTGAGCCAGCCTGCGGTTGCCTCCCCCTCCCTCTGCCCCTGTTGGGAATAGGCCTCCTGCACTCATTTGCAGAGGGGGGTCCAGCCCTGGCCACTGACCCTTGTTGACAGACAAGGTGGGGGTGGGAGGGGACAGCCAGGTCCACCCTGGTAGAACTTGGTGGCTGGCCAGAACCTGTATCCTCAGACAGACCCAGTGACAAACGGCCCTCCTGTCACCGACCGCAGGGCCCCCAGAAGAAAGATCTCCAGAAGGAAACTCCAGAGACTTCCGGAGAGCTGTAGGCGGTGTCCCCATCAGCCCTTCCTGTCTAATAAAGCTTGGTGGCAACGCATCCTTCAGTGTCCCATGGAAAGGCCACACTGGACACTTGAGCCAACCGAGGCTCAAGGTTGGGGACAGGCTAAGGGACATGGCTCTGAGGGTTTGCCAGTGAAAGCCATCACATCTCCGGGCCTGGCCCCAGATGCGCCCGTCTGTCCCCACTGCACCCGAGAGCAGCTCAGCGGCGTCCGCTGGCGTTCGAGGGGGCGGGGCCTCCGGGAGGCCGGGGCGGGGCCTCCGGGAGGCCGGGGCGGAGCCCAGCAAGTCGAATGGAGGCTGTCCTCAGGGGGCGGGGCCTCGAAGAAATAGCCTAGGAGTGGTCTTCAGAAGATGACGCCATTGGTGGGCGGGGCCTGCTGGCCGACGGGGTAGGACCGGTCCCCGGGAGGAGGCGGGGCCTCGAGCCGGAACCCGAATTCGGCATGCCTGGGAGCGATTGGTCCTTGGGAGTGGGCGGGACTTCGAGAGGCGGCCTAGGGAGGGAAGTTCCTGGAAGTGATTGGTCGCCGGAGTAGGGCGGGGCGTCCAGCTCGGGGCCGGTCCGTAACTCCAAGTGTGATTGGTCTCGGGACTGGGGTCGGGTTGGGAGCCTGGAGGTTTTGGGGTCGGTGCACTCGGAGCTGTCGGAGTGTGAGAGCGGGACCGGAACCAGGTGGCACTATGTCTTTCTGCAGCTTCTCCGGGGGCGAGGTTTTCCAGAATCACTTTGAACCCGGTACGGCCAGTAGTCCCCCTCCCCCACCTCAGTGGGATTATCAGTCCCCCTCCCCCACCGCAGTGGGATTATCGAGGAGGGGGTGTCACTGCCCCCCACTGGTGGACCCGGGCGCCCACAGAAGGGGGGTTGGGGCTGAGCGGCGGCCGCTGGGGTGCAGCGCACGTGGGTAAGAGGATAGTGGATGAGGGGAAGCCCGGGGTTGCCTCCAAGGGAGAGTGGGCATTAATTAGTGGGGAGGGACACCGTCCTGGAGCCTAGGCGGCTACACAGAGGACAATGTCTGGCAGGAGGAATGGGAAGGGGGGAGGGAGGCGAGATCAGAGTCAGGATTGGGACTTGGGGAGGGCGGGGTGCACAGGTGCGGTGAGGGTCCCCTCTGCAGAGACCCTCATGTTATTTACCCTCCAGATGTTAATAATCCACTAGATGTTATCCCCGGCCTCCCCTTCCTCGTCCTGTGACCTGCTGGTTCGCAGACACACTGCACTATTCCAGCTGAAAGGCCCAGCCGGCCACTCCCCTGCTTGCTCAGGTCTGTGAATTGGCCACTTGGAGTGGACTGTTGGCTTGCTCCGGGTCTGGCCTCTGTCCTGTTGACCAGCCAAGTTTGATCTTTGGGGTGAAGGGCTGTCCCTCGGCAGAGTTCCAGTCTACTCAAGCACTGCTTGGCCGTGCTTGCTGGTGATGGCCTAATTTGGTAAAAATATGACTGGTAAGACCAGGCCAGCCTCCAGAGAGGCAAGAGGTGTCGGGCTGGGCTATGACATGAGTCAGCTGTGGTGCCAGATGTGACAAAGACCACCTGGGCAGGGTCCTGTCCCAAGGCCCTCTGGCCGTGGGGCCTCAGTTGTCCCCACGTAGCTCCTCCAAACCAGACACACCACTCCCCGGAAATTACAGCGCTCAGCTGTTCTTCCTCTGGAGGTTCTTGGCAAATTTAGCGTGGTATTTCAGATACCTGGAGGGGGAGAGAGGATACCATTTCCTGATTTGGGGCTTTCAACACATTGGCAAGTCACTTTTGCAACTCCTCCTCACGGAATTGACTTTCTGGGGATGGGTGAAGTGGGTCTTTCTTCCCAGCCAGCCCCTCTTCCTGGCTTCCTGTCCTAACAGAGTGGAGGAGGGGTGGTGGGCAGGGGGAGGTGCCCATACAGCCAGCACATCCTCATGAGGGACCTGTCATGGGTTTCTTCCTGATTGCACAAGGGTCAGCCTCAGCTTCCTCATCTGTAATATGGAAATACGAGCCAGCCTTCTTCCACCAGCTAGTGGAGGGGCCCAGGAGCTGGGGGTGCTGGGTATTGGCTGCGAATGAGCCACTGCTGACTCTGTGGGTGGTGGTGGTGAAGGGTCCAAGATTCACTTGGATTGGGGCTGAAGGGAGGTCTTCTCCTGGGTTAGCAGGCCGCCCCCAGGACCAGAGCCTGAAGTGTCTTGCTTTGCTCCGCCTGCCCCCAGGTGTCTACGTGTGTGCCAAGTGTGGCTACGAGCTGTTCTCCAGCCGCTCCAAGTACGAGCACTCGTCGCCATGGCCAGCCTTCACGGAGACCATCCATGATGATAGCGTGGCCAAGCGGCCAGAGCGCAATCAGCCTGATGCCTTTAAGGTGAGTGCCCCCAACTCTCGAGTCTGAGAGACGTCTTCACTCTAGGCCTTTGGCTGCCTCACAGGAATGATTGGGGGACACCTGGGGCCCTGGTGGGAACACAGGAAATGGACATTGCTCCCAATACTGGGGTCAGGGCCAAGCTATGTGACCCTGTCAGCAGCTCGCTTGGGGATGGGAGGGCAGGGGGAGCGCCACCAGTTGAAGGCCTCCATGGGCCACAAGCTGAGGTGGCCACTACATGGTATTTTCGCAGGTGTCCTGCGGTAAATGCGGCCACGGGCTTGGCCATGAGTTCCTCAATGATGGCCCCAAGCGGGGGCAGTCTCGCTTCTGAATATTCAGCAGCTCCCTGAAGTTCATCCCTAAAGGTGAGTGTGCTTGCCTGCCCCTGGCCACTCTGAGGGCCCAGGTCAGGAAGCACAGGGTCCATGTTCAGTATCTGAGTCCCTCTGCCCATGGTTCCCCTGCGAGGTGGCAGTGAGGCAGGGACCGGCTTCTCTTTCTCCTGGGAAGCAGCAGGTGGGGCAGAACACCTAATCTTTGGGTTAGTTAGCAGTCAAGCACTTAATTGTTGTACCACTAGGTCTCCTTTAGGGCCAGGACCATGCCTCCCATTCCTGGGTGTCCCCAAGGCTAGATCAAGGCCACCATGCTGTCGCAACCCCAAAGAACAGAGACAGACTGCTCCTATAAGGGTCCCACGACTGTCATCTTTACTAAGCAGACTGCCTATCCTTCTCCGGTGGAGCAGCTGGTGGGTTTGAACCACCGACCTTTGGTTAACAGCTGAATGCTGAACCACGGCACCAACCAAGTTCTTTTCCCATCACATACCAACCAAGCCCGCTACCGAGTTAATGCTGACTCACAGCAGTCCTGTATAGGATTCCTGAGGCTGTAAATTTTAATGGGAGCAGGCTGCCTCATCTTTCTCCCTTGGAGCAGCTGGTAGGTTTGAACCACAGAACTTGGGGTTAGCAACCCAACACCTGACCCACAGCGCCCCCCAGGTCCCTGTCCTTATCACACAAACTAAACTGAACCCAAACCCATCACATAGAGCCTACCACTCCAGGGCCCTTCCTCAGGCTGTGCTGCTTCCATCCAGACTCAGTTTCCCCCTCTGTGAAACGGGGTTGTTCCTCCCTGCCACGCTGGCTGTGGTTGTGACATAGGTGTGTCTGTAATACCTAGATTTCTGGCCCTTTGTTGTTCACTGTGTGTGGAAGAAGAGGTGTCTGGTTCTACAAGTCTCAGGAGACAGAGGGATACAGAGAGCTCCCCAGGCGGGGCCTCTGGGTCCCTCCAGTCCTTAGGACTGTGGGCTGTGAGGGTGGGCCAGCCCAGGGGAGGGCAGTCTGAGTCCGTTTTCTCTGCCTTCTCTCTTCTCTTTCAGGCAACAAATCTGCCTCCCAGGGGAAGTAAGCAGGCAGCCCAACCCCAAGCAGCCACAGGCATTGGTCACCCCCCTTTAGAACTACAGCC